AAAGCCCATCTCACCCCCACTTCCTCCCCTGACATACACTCTACTCATGTTATACTAGGACCTGGTGTGGCATTGTATAATAAGCACTGGACTGCTGACCGCAGGTTGGTGGTTCAAACCCACCAGTCAGCCGCTCCTCAGAAACCCCTATACAGGGCTGCTATGAGTCAGAATTGACTCAACAGCACTTAACAATAACAACAAGCTGGAAACAAGCCCTGGGAGGATAAACACTGGACTGTTGACCACAACATAAGCAGTTCAAATGTACCAGCTGCTCCATGGAAGAAAGATGAAGTTTTCTGCTCCCATAAAGATTTATGGCTTCAGAAACCTTAGGCAGGGTCACTATGAGTCAGAATCAGCTTGATCACAATGGTTAGGTTTCTCTGGAAACAGCTTCAATGCCCAACAATAGGAAAACAGTAAAGATATCCTGTAAAGATATAGTCTTGGAAACCCCGTGGATCACTTAAGCAAAGTCAGTGTGCTGGAACACTTGCAAAGCATTGACAATAATAGGTATGTGAACGATCTCTATATACGGTAAAATGGTTTTGAGGTGTTATATTGCAATCAAAGCAGAACACAAAATGATATCTACACACTGATTGCAGGTATGTAGGAATGAGCTTATCCAAGAATCGGAAGTGACCTTAGAAAGAAGTGAAGAGATTTTTATATTCACAGGGTTGGTTTGTTGTTGTTGTTTTCTATAAAGTCAACATACAAAATAATAATGAATATGATCATATTAAGCAGAAGAGGAAGCCAGAGTAGGGAGGAGGACAAGGGGGCAGTGTCACTGCTCAGCTGCTCAGAAGGCCTGGGATTAGAGACAGGGTTGGAGAGGCAGCTGGGAGGAGGATGGGAGCTCAGAGGGAGCTGAAAGTCAGGCCTGCATTTGGAGCGAAACTGCTCTTTCAGGGCACAGAGGAGGCGTACCCTTCACATAGATGGCAGTGTCATGGGTGTCCCTTTGACATCAAAGTAGTGCAAAACTGCTATTGCCACCCAAAGGAGCGGCTCAGAGTTAAGCACCCAGATGCTGGTTCAAACCCATCCATATTTAAATATGGTCAAGCTGCTGCCAGATCAGGTTCTGCATTGCAGGGCTGTGCTCCTAGGCAGAAAGATGTGGCAATCTGCTCCTGTAAAGATCCAGTTTGGAAACCCTGTGGAGCCTAGAGTCACTGTGAGTTGGAATAGACTTGATGGAAATGGGTTTACGGTCACTCAAAGGTCCCTAGGTGGTACAAGCAGTTTGCGATTGGCTGCTAACCTAAATGTTAAACGTCAGACCCACCCAGAAACTGCATTGTTGTTATTGCTGTTACAACTCATAGTGACCCTATAGGGTTTTCGAGGAGTAGCTGGTGAGTTTAAACCACAGATCATGCGATTCAAACCAACCTTGTGGTCCAGTGCTTATCCAGTAGCGTCTCACCAGGACTCCTCAGCTGTGGAAGGAAAGAAATCTGCTACCATGTAGATTACACCCATGCTAAGACCCTGAGGAGCAGGCACAGGGTCCCGTGAGTTGGAATTGACTAACAACGTCAAGCAAGAGCTCCTGTAATTTCCAGCCCCCAAGACTCCTCATTCTCCTCTGCCTCCTCCTCGGCTTTTTATGATCGTATCTATTATTTTGAATGTAGTCTGTATAGGAAAACACACACACACACACACACACAAAAAAAAAAAAAAACTTATGAGGATGTTAAAAAAAAAAGACAGTCAGTTAGTAAGTTCTTGGCAAGAGACATTGGATTAAGAGAAACAGACCCCAAACAACCATGAGAGCTGACTTAGTGGAGAAAGTAAGATTTCTCTTGCCAGAAGTTTGGCAGCGAACAGACAGTTACATTACTTCATGTAATGACTTGTCAGTAAAGGATCTTCTGTTTTGTTTTGTTTTTTTATTATGAGGACTTTTTTCTTCAAAAACATATTCAACAAACAAGCAAAAAAAAAAAAAACCTACAAGGATAAAAATCTCTATACTGTTTTCTAACTTCGCTTGATTATTGACAATTTGCAAAGGCTCATTTTTTTTTCAGATCTGTCATTCATGTATACATGTTGTGTCGCATTCTGCTTTGATTTCATTACAATATTTGAAAAACACATGACCACATTCCCAAGAGCTGGAGTGTGGCTTGAGCTTCTGGAAGTGGAGAGGCTGCAGGGATTCCAGCTTCTCTCTGGTGGGGTGCCAGGCTAGGTGTGAAAGGTTCCAACTGAGGCTCCCCTGAAACTTGGGGAACAGTACGCTCTGCAGATAGATGTCCCTAACTCGGTATGTCTCAAGCTGTCTCTGTATCTCAGCAGTCCCATCACCCAGACCTGTTCCTGTGTCCCCTACCACAGTGGCTGGCACACTATCCACCCACGGCTGACTAAGTCCTGCATGCTCTGACTCCAGCTTCATCTCTCCCACCACCCAACATCATCCCCTATGCCTCACCTGCAATGAAATATTTACAGGGTGTTAATAGGCCAGGCTGTTGCAGCGGTCCTGCCTTTTCTCATGAAGTTCCTTCAGCCTGCAATCCCTTCCCTGCCTTGTGCAGGTGCTCATGACAAAAGTCAGCTCAAGCACCATCTCCCTCTCTGGAGATCTCCTTACCATCCCTTACTCCGGTCCCCAGGTAGAGATCAGGGACCTCATCTCATTTGTCTCTATAATCCCAACATCTAGCACCGCTCGTGAACTCAGCACTCAGCATCTATTTTATGAATAAAGGAAGAAATGAGTGAATGTGGAGGGTAAACAAACAGAAGAATGAATTTAATTACTTAGAACAAGTTCATATGTAGGTCTGGGGAGGCTGGGTGTGGCTCCTGACCCCAGCTGGAAGGTGAACAGAAAGGTGCCAGTCTGAAAACCTTATGGGTATATCTGGTACTCTGGTGCCCCGTCTCTCTACCCCTTCTGCTCTAGGAATAGCCTTGAGTAGAAGGTCTAAGTACTCTAAAGTAGGTAGATCAGAGAATCCTAATAGCTCACAAACAGGGTCTGCAGAAGTAGGCATCCTTCTAGGCACTTCCACTTCAGACCGACAGCCTTAGTGTACACTTTCTCCAAGTAAGACTTCTGGGACCCCAGAATGACTACACATCTCCCCAGCTTTGAACACATGCCAGTGAGGAAAATACCACTTCAAATCACAACTTTGTTCCAGAAAGGGCTGGCTTGTACAAGATCTGGTAACTTTGTGAGTTTTAAAAGATGGGCTTGTAGAAGAATTTAGGGGAAAGGTGCAGAGAGGACTTGCATTCATCTGCAATGTAGAGAGAGATCTGGCTTCCCAGGGTCAAGAAGGGAAAGATGAGGTGGAGGGATGGGAGGAGAATCACAAGAGGGAGCTACATCAGACAGCAGTGGCCTAGGGAGCTTTGTGGTGTTGGTGGCCAGTGAGAAATCCCAGGTGGTAAGACAGCCAAAATAACATTTCAGAACATTTCAGAAATGTGATTTTAAATTGTTTGCTGTGTGATGTAACCTCTCCCCTGTGACCCACAAACCTTCATTAAAAGTTCTGTTACATATTACAGCCTTATTTTTGTGGTTGCTTTGGGATGAGTGGGGGTTGAAAGCAGAAGGAGCTGTGTTCCATATTTGAATCGACAGCAGGAGCTGAAGAAATCGTCACAAGATCAGTGTAGTGAATAAAACTTTAGATGAAGCAGAAAACTGGAGCCAGAGGTGACCATGAACATGTAAGTCCACTCAGTAATTCACAGAAATCCTGGCCAGGGCATTGGACTTTCCACAGGACATGGGCGTTCAAGCCAATGTCATTTCAAGCTCAAGGGACAAGCTACCTCAGCTGACATTTAGGTTACACACAGGCCCTGCCTCTCTGGCTGGAATTGTTGGGTACTGTGGAGTTGATTCCACCCATAGCAAACTCATGCGACAGTAGAACTGTCCCATAGGTTTTTCTTGGCTATAATTTTTACAGAAACAGACTGCCACATCTGTTTTCTCTGCAGCCACTGGGTGGGTTCAACCACCAACCTTTCCATTAACAAGAGAGCACTGTCACACCACCAAGGCTCCTTCTAGCTGGACCAAGCCCCGCAAAAAACAAGATGCATCACCCACATGTTTACCTTTAGCAACCAGGGTCTTAGCATCAGGCCTGCATGTATTTGTTGTTGTCAAGTGCTGTCAAATCGATTCTGACTCACAGCGACTCTGTATAAGGTTTCCGAGGAGCAGCTGGTGAGTGTGAACCAATAACCTTGCAGTTCAAACCCACTGGTCCAGTGCATGATCCCACAGCGCCACACCAGGAAGGTATGTGAATGAGTGTCCTGAGTGCCCACTGGGTGTAGCTTGGAGCAGGAAAGCTTTTAGGCTGGGATTTCTCCCTCCTTGTTCCTACTTTCCTCTGTCTTACCCAGCAACCCTTATCTCCATGACTGCAGTAGCAAAGATCAGCTTTGTGGCCAGAAGGTCTTGTAAACAGGCAAGACCCAGGGGAGGCGGTGTCTGCAGAGATCACAAAGGGTTGTGCTGTAACCAGACTGCTCTGATTTTGTTCAGCCGACACCTATGGGGTCAGAAGAGGCAAACACTGCCCCTTGAGAGGGGGCCTTTGCTCTAAAGGACCTGCAGCGGGGGCAGGGTGTGAATGAACTGTCACTGGCTCTGGGATTTTCCTAGGATTGCCTGTAGGATGTAACTTGTGGTGTTCTGGTCTTTGCTCCTAAGCATCCCTTTAACGCCCCTATGAGGTCACGCCCGGCACCCCGCAGTCCAAATACCCTCAGTCACGCGCTTTCCTTGCAATAATTACAAGGCGCTCACAAGGCTAATGGCGCCACCTGGCGGTTCATAAAGGGTGGCGTCTACGGCCCAGTGCAGCCCAACCCCGCGTGATGACGTCACGACACAGCTAGTTTCTCTCCGCCTCTTCCCCCCTCCCTAGAGTTGCCAGTACTTAATGTGGCGTCCCCGCCCTCTGCCCTTACTTTGCGTGCGTGTCTGCGTGTGGCGGAGGTGACTGCGCGGGCTGGTCGGAGCTCGGCGCTGCTGTTTTTGGTGCTCTTATAGTCACCGTTGCTGTCCTGCTGTCTAAGACTGCCAAGCTGACGAGGCGTCAGCCGCAGTACCTCAGAACCGAACGCGGCCCGGCTTGGGGCCGGGTGAGAGGGTGGACGAGCGCGTGTCGGAGGGCGCCGCGCGGGCGGGCGGGCGAACGCCCGTGAGGGAAGGAGGCGGGGGCGGCTGGTTAGCCACGGGCCGGGCCGGCCGGGGGATGTCGATGCCTGACGCGATGCCGCTGCCCGGGGTCGGGGAGGAGCTGAAGCAGGCCAAGGAGATCGAGGACGCCGAGAAGTACTCCTTCCTGGCCACCGTCACCAAGGCGCCCAAGAAGGTGCGGGGGCTCTGGGTGGAGGCGGGGGCCCGCCGGGCCTCGTGGAAGGGGTACGAGCGAGCCCTGGGCTTCGGCTTGTTGCAGACTTTGGGGACGAGGGTTTGGGTTGCCTGGGGAAGCAGAGGTGGTGTGAACGGTGGCGGGTGAACGACCCCAGGCTGGAAAGGCCGTTCCTGACCTCGCTTTCCTTTGTCCCTCGGCCCTAGTCCGCTAGGATCTTTCTTAAACCCGACAGGCCGGGCCTTAGGTTCGCCTGACTTTTTCTGGGTGAAGGGCTTCGAAGACGGGAGTGAGGGGGGTGAACAAACTCCACTGGCTCCTAGGACCAGCCCTAGCGGGTGGGCGAAAGGGTGTGCAGAAAAGCCCCCATCCAGCGAGTGAGCCCATCTGACCGAGCTTTTTTCAGGCAAGTCTTGGGGAACAGTGGTGGGTTTATGCAGTAATTGCATGATAGCTTGGAGGCAAGAGAAAAGAATGCGTGGAGCCCGCTGTTTTCTGTAGGTGAAGGCAGTGATGGCAGCAGAGGATTGAAAAGACAACTATGAGTTTCACCTTCAACCGGCTTCCAATTGCTTTGACATTTCTAAGCAATTAACATTTGGAGTTGGTGACAGCAGACACTGTCATGGATACAGGTTGATGGAGAGTCGTGGGAATAGACACATCACTGGAGACAGAATCTTGGGTGGGTTGGTGGGGTGGGTGGTAAGGAATGATGGCTCATTCTTTATTGCACTTTTGAGGCAGAACAAGTTTAGTCTATTGTGCTGTGGGTTGAAGGCATAGGACATCCTTCTAAGTCTTGTGGAAGATTAAATGGGACCCTTTGGTAGATTTGAGTCTAAGGAGCTCTCTGAGTGGTGGAATTGGGATCCCTCGGCCTTTCTGATCATGTGCTGCCAACCACATCTTGGTTTTACATACCTGGCACCCAGTTCCAGTAGACCAGAGAACTTTAGCAAAAAGGTGACCTTTCTGAAACCAGTGAGAACTTGCATAAATCTGTCCTGTGTAAAGACAGAGCTTCAAGGACACCTCTGACCACTGTATTTAATGGGGATGCCAAACAAAGTAAGATTTGCAGGAATCCAGTGCAATTCTTGAAGTTCCTACACCTGAACTAAAGTGGGAGAGATGACTTTTTTTTTTTTCCTCTTTGCAAAGGAAATTTAATGCAGCACTCTAGATATCAAATGCAATATTGAAAAAAAAACAAAAACAAAACACCAGCATGCTTTGTCGCCCCCTGCCCACCTTTCTCATACACACAATTGGAATCCTACTAACAATGCTTTTAAAAGATTGGGGAAGGTCCTTTGATTCTGAAGAGTCTTGATGAACCTTATTTTTAGGGCTCTTAGTTCAGCTGTCTGCTTTGTTGGGGCTGTGTTTGTATTCTGCACAATTCTTTGGAGAAGCAGTCACAGTCGTTAGAAGCTTATAGGTAGTTTCTTAGATGAGTTAGAAGGAAGAATGCAAAGCCCTGATACCCTTAAGTCCCTGGATTCTTACTCTCCCTACTAACCCATTCTTTTAAGTTGCTTCAGAATATTATGTTTTTACTCTTATTGGCCTTTTTTTTTTTTTAAGTTCTTAAAGTCAGCCTTTATTCCTTAACAAACGCCCCTGTTGACGGTATTCAGTATGTTGTTATGTGCCATGGAGTTGGTTCTGACTCATAGCGACCCTGTACAGGGTTTCCGAGGTTGTAAATCTTTATGGGAGCAGAAAGCTTCCTCTTTCTCCTGTGGAACAGCTGGTAGTTTTGAACTGATGACCCTGCGGTTAACAGCCCAATTTGTAACCACTATGCTACCAGTTGTGATGTTGTTGTGAAGTGCCGTCGAGTCGATTCCGACCCATAGCGACCCTGTACAGGGTTTCCAAGGGTGTAAATCTTTACGGGAGTAGAAAGCCTCATCTTTCTCCCGCGGAGCGGCTGGTAGTTTCGAACTGCTGACCTTAAGGTTCGCAGCCCGATTCGTAACCACTACGCTACCAGAGTTCCTTACAATTCAGTATAATAGTTTGTAAACTCCCATAAAGGCAGGGATTCTTGCTCATTGTTATATCCTTTGTGCTTGGCTCTGTACCTAGCATATAGAAGGTGCTCAAATATTAATTGCCCACCTGGCTAACAAGTAACTGAGATATCAGTGTGGCTGCTTACCAAGAACAAATATCCTTTTCTTTTTCCCAGGAGGAATATTGCTAACGTGTATTATTGTCAGGCCAAGTGCTAATGATTTTAGGGACTCGTATTCCATTAGCTCAAAGAAGCAGTCCCTGCCAGGAAGGTGAAGACCCTATTTTGAGTTTCCATTTGCTGATAAATGTGCCCCCATGTTTCTTATTAATCTTGCTCTTTCTGAGCTTTATTGTTTAGCGTTTACGCAGTACTTGTATTAAAGTGCTTTATGGTGACTAATTACTCTTTCCCTACTAATAGTAAAACACATTTATTTAGCTAATGGGTCAGTTGAGGACTAGTTCAAGGTCACATAGCAAGTCCTAGATAATCTGTTTTTCCGACCTTCACTTTAGTTAGACATAAGTCACTTTGCTGCCTCTGCCATGTGTTGAGAGTGTGAGAAAGCATGGGAAAATGAGAGGGAAAAAGTAGTTTGGCATGAGAAAAAGACCTCTTCACATGGTGCCCTGCCTTCACCTCTGAGGATCACAACCTGATTCTAGACCAAGAAATCCTTGACTCACTCCAAGCCTTAGAAGCCCTTGGGAAATGAGGACATTTCTAGTGCCAGTCACAGGATGTAGGTTACTTCAGGGTGACCTTGATGGTCCTAAATCAGATCCCAGTATGGCTTTCTGGTGAGCCTTTATTTGTGTTGTTCTGTGTTGAATAGATGCCTATCCGTTAAAAACAGAGATAACTAGATTCTTCAACTATAATCGTGACTTAGTTTTGTAAGCCCCTGGCACAGTGCTATGTAAATGATAGAGCTTGTTGGATTGGTTCAAGGCTTGGTCTGGGTGCCAAGAAGCCAACTAAATGGGTACTACATTTAGCAAATTAATTCACTGCCGTGCCTCAGATTTCTCATCTATCAGATAAGTGCTTGTTTAGAATAGATGGAGATTGAAGCATGTTGGAGACTAATAAGAGTAGTTTTTTAAAAAGAAGCCTATTGGTATATTTAAGGAGCTCTGGTAGCGTAGTGGTTACAAGTTGGGCTGCTAACTTTAACGTCAGCAGTTCAAAACTAACAGCCATTCTACAGGAGAAAAATGAGGCTTTCTGCTCCCATAAAGATTTATAGCCTCGGAAACCCTGTGCAGGCAAAGTTACTATGAATGGGAACCAGCTTCATGACACACCACTACCATTGGTATATTTAAGGAGTTCTGTAGCGTAGTGGTTATGAGTTGGGCTGCTAACCTCATGGTCAGCAGTTCAAAACTTCCAGCTGTTCCTCAGGAGAAAGATGAGGCTTTCTGCTCCCATAGAGATTTACAGCCTTGGAAACTATAGACTCCATGGCACACCACCACCATTGATATATTTATACTCCCTCTTTTTAAAAGAATATTAGAAATAACTTAAAGCACAGGATTCATATACAAGTAGGAAGTCAAAATGAGAAAGAACATTTTTATAAAAAGAATAACCCTCAAGCCTCAGATAGTTGATGAGCTTGTTAGCATGCTGCTCTAAACTTCCTAGCAACCAGAGCATAAAGGGAATCAGTGATATTCTCATTAGCAGACATGGTTATACATACTAATTACTCAGGAAAAACCATTTTCCTGACTTTAAGTTCTAAATGAAATTTTCATGGACCAATATTAATAGTTATCCTATGGTTCACATGGTGTAAGACATGTTTGTGACTATCAGTAGTGATTTCTGATCCTATTGCCAGGATAATTTGAAATGAGAAAGGAATCTTGAGTTTTAAGGGTAGTTAGTGTATTCTGTGCTAGAACTGAAAAAGGTCTTGTGTATTGGCACTTAGAAGTTGAACTAGATATATTGTCTAGCTCATTATAATTGCTAGGTATTTATCCTTTTTTCCCTGCTATTTTGTGTTGCAGGGGACGATGGCTGTCCTTGGACCTTTGGAAATTGACATTGTGTCAAGTTGATTCTTCCTTCATAGAGTAAATCCAAATCTGACTTGTTGACAAAACCTTCTAAGATAGACATGTTCCTCTGGAAGGTCAATTTCAGAGCTCTGAATTTCTCAACATTTGGGTGAACTCTCCAAGTGAAATGTGAGACATTTGACCTAGGATCTGCATGATCGTTCCTTTACCATCAGCAAAACAGAGAAAAATATAAAAGAAACCCCTTTTGCTTGTAATATAGTCTTTATTTAAATAAAAAGTACATGAAGCTCTAATTCATCAAAAGGGTCAGCTGAAATTTAGGAAGCAGACCAAGTAGAGCCCACAACTTCTGCCTGGACAGGTGTAGTCTTGACTATTCTCTTGTCATCAGGGTTATCTTAGAGTTAAGTCTTGGTGCAGTCTTAGAGTTTATATCTGTACTTCTCAGATTCTTTGAGAAAAGATTTGGTCTTTGCGTCATGAGCAGATCTCTCTTGATTCTCAGCTACTGTTTAACTATTTTAGTGGCTGTCTGAACAGGAGATAAAAGTGTAAGAATTTAATCTTTTTTTAGATTTCTCCACAGATACTGATTACCTGTCTTATCTGGTTTGGTGTAGTTACTTCAGTTCTGGCTTCCATATTACTTTGTTCTAAGTTCCTCTAGACTTTAACTTTATGTAGAGAGAAATTTTTGCATTTGCCATGCCCTTTGCCACCAAGATCACAAACATGTATTTTTATCTTTTGTAGGGAGGGGTCATCTAGATCCAATGTATATTATCCTATGTAATATTCTTAAAATGTACAGAGACTATTTTGATGCATAGAATACTGTGCATCTTTGGTTGCCTGTGACTCCTAATAAGTTTACTCTGCTACTTCAAGTAGTTAATGATCTGTAAACAAGCTCTTTAATGCCCTCATGGGGA